AATAATCTAAGTTTAAAATATCAAGAATTTACACAAACAGGTTGCGGAGATAAAGTAATTAGAAAATTTGAGTTTTTGGCAAAGACTTAATTCCTTTACAAAACAGATAGTCTTGTAATTAAAAAAAGTGTTTTTATGCATTTAAAAACTATTACAGTAGAAGTATTAAAATTGATTATCTTTAATCTGAATAACAATAATTTGTGCAGAAAATATAAATAGTAAACATTAATCTCTCGCGGGGTTTGATGTACGTCAGGCTGGTTTGTTTGTCTGTGTATTCATCATCAACATAATAACATAAATTTTAAACAGGTACTTGGTACACGATAAAGGAACAGTTGACAAAATAAAAAGAACTAAAAAACATGGTTCTAAATTTTTTTTTTTAATTAGCTTATTAACGTTAAACTTTTTATCTAATATTTTTCCGAGATTAATGGATGTTTTGCGAACTATCCCTTTAACCTGTTATGCTCCTTAATCCCCTGAAAATATCAAAATGGAAGGAGGAGAGGGGGGAGGTATAGACTTGTGGAGCGAACAACAAAGGATACATAGCAAAAATATGTTTTTATCCTTATTGAAATCAACAAAAAAATAGGAAAAGAATAAAGAATGTACAAAAGAAGAATAAGAATTGATGTATCAGAATCCGGGATATTTAAACCGACATTGTAGGAACTAATAAGTTTATCATGTGAATTCGAACACGATGTTTTCAGTAGATTTCAGCGCTGAAACAGCAACTTCATTTTACGGAGGTATAGAATTGTTTTTCACTTTTTCATATCTTTATCTTAACCTTTTTATTTCTTAAATGTGTATTTGCAGTGTATATAGGAATTAAGTCTTTGTCACAAACTCTGCTTTTCTAAACCCTATACCTCTGGATTTCAGAGTCGTAGACCTTAGATATTTCAAATTATGAATTCTGTTAGATCAAATAATATAAGTTTGAAATATCAAAGATTTGCTGCATTGGGTTCAAAGGTTAAGGGATTATAAATTCAGAGTTTGTGGCAAAGACTCAATTCCTTTGTGTTCGTTAATTTAATCAAATATTGTCAGAGATCTTTTTTTGTTTGACTCAAAATGATAAAATTGTTAAATGCTAAAAAATGTTAACTAACGAATCTTTAAATCTTTAATCATCTACAGACTCATAACTTAATTTGTTTTGTGGGGGGGGGGGGGGGGTACACAGGGTGAACAAGCAAAAGATCGCTTATTTCACCTTTAATTTGATTTTACAGAAATGCAGCGTTCTGATTAATTTACCCAAAAGAAAGATGGACTCCAGAAATGCCCATTCAGTAACTTTTGCTAAACAATATCTAAAAAATTCGCAAAGAATTTAACGGTCTCCTTGGAACCTTAATAATGTTTGAAACGGAAACCGTGTTTTCTTAAATTACTAAAATTGCGGATATTATGCTGTGTCCCCAGTACTAGGCAGATTTTAGAAAAAGATCGTTAGGATGCTAGGAGGACCTTGGGACGCTAAAAACATTGAAGAAACTTTAAATTTAACATTTTCCGCCGGATATTGGTTTCCTTTTCAGGGGGAACAAAGGAGAGTCTTAATTTTCACGCAAAAATCGTCCATGATTATGACAAGAGCAAAAATCGTCCATGATTATGACAAGAGCTTATTCGAAATTCCACCGTCCAAAACTTCATATCCAGGGCTAGAAACATGTTTAAGTGGGTTGAATAAAAAAATAAAGATGAAGGCCTTGCATCACTTAAATGTCAACCTGGTCTCTCTATATTAACTCAACTTCTTATTTTTACAATTATCTACATATATTCTATAAACCATCCGTAGCAATAAAATTTGGCAACATTGCGTAGATAGCCTTAAACATTGATTACGGATGCTTTATAGACCTGGAGAAAGAAACACGAATGCCGGTTAGCAGAGTTCAACTAACCCATCGTGTTCTCAGAAACTAAACAACCTAACAAAAAACATGAAAACTGTCACTGCAGTCTAAACTAAACTGCTTCATGATTCGCGGTATGGCAATTTAATGCAGCAGTAAAATCCATTAATATATGTGTTCTTCATATTGTAATTACCAATGTATCTAATTATTCTTTACGATTGTTTATATATTTAATCTACATAATGCATACATTGTTAAATAGTTTTAATACTTGACTGCGTTTATTTTTTGTTTAGAAATAAATAAACTCTACTTTTCTCTCATACTCCTCATACATTCCTATTTAGATCGCATTAATGATATAATACATTGTGTACGAGAGGGGGGGGGGGCACCATATAAAAAATACTTCATAATCTCACTTTTGCCCTTAACCAAAAAAAAATTTAAAAAGCTTTAATCAATACAGCCTTCAGGGTAAATATATCTTTATATTTATACAATGTACGGATCGTTCCTATGAAATTACAGATATTTTTAAAGAAACGTTTCCATCTCTATTTTTCACCCATTAAAGTTTACAACATCTATTAAGAGGAAGTGTCTGATGAGTTCACTTAAGAAAATTACATAAATAATTTATAAACACTTGTCATATGATTGAAAATTCGGTGATGTTGATGGACCAAACTGTCCTCTGTAGTCTGTACAGTAAAAAGTAGATGTTAGTTCCATATTTATTGAAAATATATTTTGGTCTGGGTTGACCCTCGTCAGTTCTAACGATAATAACCATCAAAATCGATAAATTTTTTTTAGATTGTTAAAAACATGGGTAAAACCACAAGAAAATAAACAAAAGAAACAAAAATTTCGCTGTCAAATGGACATATGGGAACGAACTCAGATTATGAGACGGAAAAAAAATAATTTGCAAATATTCACTTTAAAAAAAATGTTTAAAGACAATTATCATTCCTTGAGATTCTTTCTGTCACAAAGATTAAAAACAAACTGTTCAGATGTACAGAGCGTCCCATATCATATTAATTATCTCCAAGCTTTTACGCCAGATACGCACATAATACTCGAAAAACCTAGCATTTTCTGCAAGAAAACTTTTATAAAAACCTTTTACATTTAAAAAAATGATTCATTGTTTTTAAAATCTCTGATTTGTCACTAAAATCACAATTTTGAGCTATACACGATCTAATATGATGTAGGACACCCTGTATGTGTATTAAGTGGTGGTGGGGGTCGAACTAATTAACGAACTTTTGCGTAAATCAAGGGAGGGGGAGGAAGTGTGTATATGACCGAATAGTTTACATAGTTAAAAAAGGTATCAATATTGTTTTAAAACAGGGGTTTTTAAGGGGGCATAAAACGTGCCCCTCCCCTACATAAATGCTCTCGTGCGCCCCTGACATTGCATCTCCCACATGATGTGTCTACTATTAAAACAGATGTCCCCCCTTCCTCCTGTTGCACAGAATATCCCCCCCCATTCCTCCTCAGCCCAAAGCCTGGGAAAATCTGGTGCCGGAAACCGTTTAAAGGTCTTTTTAATCCCTGTTGGGGGGGGGGGGGGGGCGGGGAGTGACGCTAAAAAGAATTCCCACTAACCGCTAGATATTGTGTATAATGTTGCATAACTAGGATACATATAATGCATCAATTACTTCACACCGCAGTGTTTCCCATTAAATTCTTTCAATTTCCGTAAATGTTTAAACCATACGTATATTTTTTACATTGCTTTAAGTTTATCCGCTTTGTCCTCTCATTGGCTGGCTTTTTTGAAAACAGCAACGTACATAGAGGTTTTAAATACTAGAAAAATATTAGTCCTGTCCTCAGGGGCGTATTCAGGAATTTTTTTCTCTTTCCAGGGGGGGGCTCAGCACCCGTCATATCCCCTAAAATCAATAGATTTCACTGGTCCAGGGGGGGCTTAGCCCACATTGCCCCCCCCCCCTGAATACGCCTCTGCCTGTCCTGTACAGTAAATGTAGTCAGGATGCCTTCAAAACTCACTCACTCTAGAAACAACTCATTTCAGAATGAAAAACTAACACAAGGTTGAGAATATAGGATTTATTAGGATTAATGTTCAGGATTAGTTTATTTTCTAATTTCTGTGTGAATTGAACTAAGAGTGAAAATAGTGAATTGATTCACAGTTTTCAATCCCTTTATAAATTTTCTATTGGTAAATATAACAGAATTACAACATAATAACAATTTTTCTTTCATTTTTATAAGTTTTGTTGAAAAATAGACCTAAACAACTTCTAGTTGAATGTCTACAATAATTCCTGTGTTCTCCAAAATTGAAAATAATAATTGTAAGAGAGAGGTGAACTGAATGAATTTTCGAAACATTATTTCCAATAATGTAAATTTTGATTAACAATGAAGGCAGGTTGCTTGAATCTAGATTCATCAAGACAAGCTCCTTTTTAATACCCATTAAATATATATACCAAAAATATTTCAAGGGTTCAATCTAATAATGGCCGAGTTCAGTAGATTGTGTAGAAACAAGATAACAATTAGTTTAATTTTTCAACCAGTCGCCTAGTACGACAAATAATTCCGGATCGATGGTAAACACAAACTGTACTGCATTTAATCAAGCTATTGTGCACTATTGAAACTTCACAGGATGAGTAAACTGTACTGCAATATTAAAACTACAGTACAGGATGAGTAAACTGTACTGCAATATTGAAACTACAGTACAGGATGAGTAAACTGTACTGCAATATTGAAACTACAGTACAGGATTAGTAGACTGTAATGAAATGTTGGAACTTCAGTCCAGGATGAGTAAACTGTACTGCAATATTGAAACTACAATACAGGATGAGTAAACTGTACTGCAATATTAAAAACTACAATACAGGATGAGTAAACTGTACTGCAATATTGAAACTACAGTACAGGATGAGTAGACTGTAATGAAATGTTGGAACTTCAGTCCAGGATGAGTAAACTGTACTGCAACATTGAAACTACAGTACAGGATGAGTAAACTGTACTGCAATATTGAAACTACAGTACAGGATGAGTAAACTGTACTACAATATCAGGTTGAGTATACCAAGAACAGGAATTAACAGAACAAAGTTACGTTTGGCAACAATAGAATACATTTAATCACATAGAGAAACAATATCAAAACTCTTCTCAACACCTTCTTGTTTCCCTTTCATATTCTTCTTCTTCCTTCCTTCCTTCGTTCACACTTTTACAAACTCATATTTTTGCAGATTTTCAGGCGTCTTTTCTCACTGATCCGCTCAAACAGCCTTGAAGAGTAATATTTCAATTCTCCCAGAAGGAGTTTAATCATGGAGAAGAGGATCTTATCCTTTACTCCGTCTTGATTGAAACCTGGGGAATTAGATGCCTGTAATCAAAATGATTTCTCGGCTCCTCTCTCTCCTCAGACCGATCCCTGGAAAAATCTGATTTTATTATTTTGTTTCTTTACTCTTTTAATGATTAGAAATCGTCTACATAGAAAGAAATATTCAATATTTTAGTTAATTACCTGCTAGGACTGGATCTCTCAATATTATATCTCTCCATTAGTTGAGAATAATATTTCTCCCGTTCAATCCTTTCCCGTTCCCGTTCCTCCCGATCCCGACCGGTCGTGGTCGACAAATCTGTCGGTTCGTCGCTATGAGGTGAGACTGGGGCATCCTCCGACTTGATTGGGGACATGTGACCTAGGACAGCTTGTTGAGCAGCAGCTTGCAGCTGCTGAGCTCCTGTAGTGAGCTGCTGAGCAGCAGCTTGAGCTTCCATCTGTTGACGGAGTAAGGAGATGTTTTTGATGCTTTTCAACTCACTTGGATTTCTCAAAAACCTGAATAATAATAAAAAAATTAATAACCTGAATAATAATAAAAAATTAATAAAGTTCATGTATCACGTGTGTTAAATAATTGAATTATCTATGTAGCCAACACAGAAAATGTCAACAAAGTAAAAGATAATAGAAACGCAGATTACTCCAGTTTCAGAAGCAAAAAATTAACTTACTGGTAGCAATGTCTCTCTCCTTGAACCTTCCTGAGGATGTTGACCCTGTAGTAGTATCTAAGTGCTCTAGACATCTTGTCGTAGTTCATCGAGAGATGATTCTTTTGTATACCCCAGAGACGGGCTAATCCGGCCGGATCAACAATCTTGAATACTCCAGTGTCCTTATTCTTCCACTGTATATAGCTGGTGTACCTAGATATTTAGGAGGTTTACTTTTTTTCCAAACCCGGATATAGATTCATTCCGGATACATGATTGAACCCGGATACAATCATTATTACAGGACCAGGATACTGGAACATACGTACCAGGTTAAATGAACAACTGCTGAACAATGATACCGGGACAAGGTTGGACCAGGAATAAGATAAAAAAAATAGACGAACATAGAAAATAATGGAACCAGGAAAAAGATAAACACGAGCCATTATACAAAATTGAACCGGTGAACCGGAAAGAAATTGGATCAGCCGGTACAAAATTCAACCAAGATTAAAATCAGAAAACAGATTATTTGATTCGGGTACGACAGATATTTGGTTTATGTACGTTTAACGACGAAGAATGAAGATAAATATTAAGTTATTAACTGATGTTACCTCTGTCCCTGGTCATTTAGAAGCTGTTGCAAAAAATCCCAGAGGAGCCGCCCGTTCGTAGAAGGGGCGTCATCATCACTTTTGGAGGAGGAGGGGGCGTTCCCCGGGCTCCTCGGCGCATTTGTGGAAGTGGGTGTGGCTGGGGTGGTTGGGGATCTCTGTGAATCCACCATGGAGTCCTCTGAATCTGAGTTTGAAGATCCAGTCCCTGGAGCAAGATGTGAGGGTAGGTAGAGAGGAGGAAGGGAGCACATCATGTTCTCCTGCTTGGGGGAGTGTCCAGAGGTGGAGTCCAAGGAGGGGGCGGGGCTTAGGGTTACTGAGTTTGTCTGTGAAATGAGGTGGGACAGGTTGGGGAAGGTTTCAGATGCAGAGGAGTTAAGGAGGGGCCAGTGAGAGTGGAAAGGGGAGGGCGAGGTTGGGGTCATGAGGCCAGGTGGTCGGGGAGTAAGAGGAGAGGAGGGAAAGGCTGATGCTTCTCTGAGCAGCATCTGTAGGATGTTGTGGATGACATCGCCGGCTCCTGAGCATCGCTCGGCCAGATCGTTCTTGGACAGGAAGCACAATGCTTTACCTAGGAATATTTTAAACTTTAAAAATACGAAAAACTTAAAATTACAAATTAGAGAAATTTATAATCAAATAAAACCTGATTTATAATCTAATACTTGGAGGCAAGGGGGGGATATTGCCGGACAAGGAGAGCTCTTTTATTTTATAAACATGTGATCACGTCACTCAAGGACAAGGAGAGCTCTTTTATTTTATAAATATGTGACCACGTCACTCAAGGACAAGGAGAGCTCTTTTATTTTATAAATATGTGATCACGTCACTCAAGGAATTAACTTTTTAAGATCTGAACAGGAATCGTAAAGAGCCACGATTAATAGAACATATTATATTCAATACATTCTTCCATTTTAATATTGTTTACAATCTTTAAATATCTCTTGACATAATCTTTTCGACACGTTTTCCCTTGTTTGTCTCACCGAGTCGCAGTTTTTGAACAAAATCTAGAATCTTGTAATAATTTTGACAAAAAAAAAAAAAATTTTGGACCCGAGAATAAAAGTTTAAATTTTATTCTTTAAAATACATTGTTTTGTTAAAGTTTTAAAATCTTAATCCGACTATTTAACTCACCATTCATCTGGAACTTGTCCATCTCAATCTTCTCCAGATCAAACTCTCTCTCACAGTAGGACATAAACAGGGACACATCCTCACGGTTCCACGACTTAGGGTCGCTTGGTAGACCTCCTAGAAAAAATAAAATTTGAACATTTCAACTTACAATCCAGCCGAGATTATAAAGTGGTCAGTCGAAATAAAGTGACCACTGGGGATGCAAACTTGTTTTTACCGCCCTTTGACCAAAATTACCGATCTATGATTCCCCAATTGAGGGACGTCCCTTGAGACAATTAAATAATAAATTTAATAACCACCCATTACAACTACTTAAATTAAAAATTATACTAAGCCCCGGGTTCCCTCGACCAATTTGTCTTGGAAACCCTAGTATTTAGTAAAGTTCCCTTAATTAACGTAGTAATAAATAACAATTAATACTATAAAAATAAGATTTAAAAAATTTTTTACCTGGAAGTCCACTCTTGACATGAGTCTCTAGAGGAGAAGGTGGAGGAACGAAGGGGTTGGGATACCTCCAAAGCAGGTCGGGGGAGAAGGGCAGGGGGAGAGGGAGTCGATCCATACCAGTAGGAAGGGTGATAGGAGGAACCTACATATTTTATATCATATTATCTGATTTAGTCAGGGCTGAATTAATTTAAGAATTCCAGCCCTCCAAGTGATTTTTAATGAATTTTGGGAAAAAAATAAAAAGCTTTTCATCCATTTTCATACTTTTCCCACAAAAATGTATTTTCCCCAACTTTGCTAAAAAAAACCTTAAACATTTTGCAAAGAAACTTAGAAACATTCACCAAGGGATTAAGTTTGTTAAAAACGTTAAGGAAAATATGAAGAATACCAAATTTGGCTCCTTAAACATACCACCCAATCAAAAAACTAATTTGCACAATAATTGAGAAAAAATTATCTTATTTATAAAAAATAGCGAGGTAAAAATAATTGAGTAGATGAATATGTAGATAAATATATAGAAAATAGATTTTTAGTATGATTAATAGACGGATAGATATAGATAGATAGATCACCTTCATTTCGTCTGAAGGTAAGGTGACCGCACTACGGAATAGGTTACTCAGAGACACCGCATTCTGAAAATATAAAATTTAACATGGAATTCATAATCACAAAAAATATATCTATCCCACAATCAAAATTTAGTGTCGATCAAAGTTATGATTTGAATAATTATTTCATGGAGAAATGAACTAAAAATGTGCATCACTTTAAAATATTGAAAATTATTATCGGTTATCTTTCTAGATTATTTTATAATAAAAAATCAAAATGCAATTAACTGCAAGTTTTGTGAAGAAAAACTCGGCGCAAACTCATAAAGCTTTAAACCTATATCTTTGCAACCTGATGATGTCAACTGTTCATATCATAAACTCTTAGCTTGAACTATTAATGTCCTACGACATCGAGTTTATCAATATTAGTGATCTATGACATCAGTTTGAAAATTCATAACTTAATTCTTGGCTTGCATTTTCACTAGTCTACGACTTTACTTTGCAAAAATAAAAGTTTAAAAAATAAATAGTTTAAACTGAAACTAAAGAAAATAACCAAAAGTATAGAGGAAAACGAGTGTATATAATAGTGACCTACTGACGTAAATTATTCACAATAGGTATCACAAGATAAACGAGCCAACTGTTGATATATGTATATAATATATATACTATCTATATTTATATACAAATAATATTCGGCTCACAACACACCAGTTCAATTGTATGTATAATAAATTTTTCAATAAATTTTTCTCTTCATTGACTGTCTTAATTGGCTATCCTTATGTTAATGGTTAATCGTTAAAAATATCAAATTATTAGTTATACACACATTTTCACCCACTTTAAACAACTGTGCTTATTCCTAATGAGAATTTAATGCTTATCTTTATCCTAAAGTTTTTTTAAGATTCATAATCCGTTAACATAAACTGGTCCAGCTTCATATAATGTGTTGTATGCTAAGAAATATACGGAGAGAAATATAACACTGCAGGTAAATACGGATTTTTTTTTACCTTTAATTTACATAAACAATATTTATTTAAGTAAGAATTCATTTGAACTGGATAACCGAGAATAAAGATAAATATGTAGGACTTGTGAGTTGTGATGTTCATCCAACAGTATTTAATATTCAATACAGGGCTTATCAGAACTAGAGTTTTACTTAGCAGAGATAATGAAAGGGGAAGGAAGGAAGAAAGGAATAAATGAATTTAAGAATTTAGGAAGGAGAATATTGAATTTAGGAAGGAAGATTTTAAATTTAGGAAGAAGAATACTAAAGTTAGTAAGGAGGATACTGAAGTTAGTAAATACTGAAGTTAGGAAGGAGGATACTGAAGTTAAGAAGGAAGATACATAGGTTAGAAAGGAGGATACTGAGGTTTGGAAGGAAGATACTGAAGTTTGGAAGGAATGAGGATAGTGAAGTTTGGAAGGAGGATACTGAAGTTTGAACGGAGCATATTAACGTTAGGAAGGAGGAAACTGAAGTTAGGAAAGAGGATACTGAAGTTAGGAAGGGGGATACTGTAGTAAGAAAGGAGGACAGTGAAGTTTGGAATGAACATAATGAAGTTTGGAAGGAAAATAAAGAAGTATTCGAGAGAAAGATATTCATGTGAAGAAGGAAAGTAAGGAAGGAAAGTTAGGAAGGAAATGAAATTTTGAAGGAAGACATTGAACAAGACAGAAAGGAAATGTGGAAATGACATTACTGAGGAAAGTACTAAGGAAAGGAAAGTACTGAAAAAAGCATGAAGGAAGTACTGGAGATAAGATAAAAAAGTACTGGAGATAAGATGAAGAAAGTACTGGAGATAAGATGTAGAAAGTACTGGAGATATGATAAAGGAAGTACTGAAAGAAGATAAAGGAATTACTGAAGATAAGATAAAGGAAGTACTGGAGATAAGATGAAGGAAGTGCTAAAGACAAGATGAAAGAAGTACTGAAGACCAGATGAAGGAGGTACTGAAGCAAGATGAAAGAAGTATTGAAGACAAGATGAAGGAAGTGCTAAAGGCAAGATAATAGAAGTACTGGAGATAAGATAAAGGAAGTACTGGAGATAAGATGAGGGAAGTGCTGAGGACAAGATGAAGGAAGTACTGAAGCCAAGATGAAGGAGGTACTGGGACAATATATAGGAAGTAATAAAGACAAGATGAAGGAAGTACTGAAGACAAGATGAAGGAAGTGCTGAAGACAAGATGAAGGAAGTACTGAAGACAAGATAAAGGAAGTATTGAAGATAAGATAAAGGAAGTACTTAAGACAAGATGAAGGAAGTACTGAAGACAAGATGAATGAAGTACTTGTGACAAGATAAAGGAATTATGGAAGACAAGATATAGGAAGTACTGAAGACAAGATGAAGGAAGTACTTAAGACAAGATAAAGGAAGTACTGAAGACAAGATGAATGAGGTAATGGGACAATATTATATGAAGTGCTGAAGACAAGATGAAGGAAGAATTGAAAACAAGATAAAGGAAGTATTGAAGGCAAGATAAAGGAAGTATTGAAGACAAGATAAAGGAAGTATTGAAGACAAGATAAAGGAAGTATTGAAGACAAGATGAAGGAAGTACTGAAAGAGACAAGATAAAGGAAGTATTGAAGACAAGATAAAGGAAGTATTGACGACAAGATAAAGGAAGTCTTGAAGACAAGATGAAGGAAGTACTGAAAGAGAAGATAAAGGAAGTATTGAAGACAAGATAAAGAAAGTATTGAAAGAAAAGATAAAGGAAGTATTGAAGACAAGATAAAGGAAGTATTGAAGACAAGATAAAGGAAGAATTGAAGACAAAATAAATGAAGTATTGAAAGAGTATAGATGAAGGAAATATTGAAGAGAAGATAAAAGAAGTATTAAGACTATAAACAAATACATACCAGCTATTTCTAATTTGTGGATCACTTACAAAAAGATTACATTTTGTCGAGTACAGTACAATTTATAAGCTCTGCTGTGCACGCTTGCAAGGCGTTTGATTAGATCGGATCACTATTTGTACTTTATCACATTTATATTCACAAATATTATTATTTATATGATTGAGCTTTGTGTGAATGTAGGCTGTGTGAGCGTCAATGGAAGACTGAGTTAAGAGTTGGGACTACTAAAGTGAGTGGTAGTGAGTAGCGACTAGAGAGTGGTCTTGGTGGATGGATGGAGAGCCGTAGCTACAGGTAGTTCAGCGGCTATCCCATCCAGGGTTCGCTTACTGTTTTAAAACACATGTTTTTATGAAACCTTTAAAATCAAGTTTTTGGATTTATTTTAGAAATCTTTAGATTTTTATGAAAATTATTTATAATTTCTTGAAACCCCTGGTTCCGAGTGTTGCTGTCCTGCCCAAAGTGCTATTTCCGTCTTGGGTTGGGATCGTTCAAATATTACAAAACTGGAGAACCAATACGGGGATCGTCCAGTTTTAAAATAAAAATTATTTTTTAGCTTGCTTATCTATTTTTCATATCTATCCTCAGTTTATCTCAAATTTTTCAAAATTTTGTGATATAAAAGCATATTAGGCTTCCAAAGTTTTTTGTCTAATGTGTAAGTAAAAAAGTTTAAGAAAAATTATCTTTTTAAACTGATGCATTATTTATTTTTAACAGCAACATTAAACAGTAAGTTTAAAGTCGGAACAACAACAACACAAAGTTTCGGCGGAAAAGTTCCGGTTTTAAATCCAGGCAAACGGGCACCCGATATCTATTCAGAAGATGGGGGGGGGGACTTAGAGGGGCTTATTTCAGGGATTCAAATTAATTAAAAGATCCCACCTGTATGTAGAAAATATATGTATATATTTTTAAGTTTCACAGAGTTTATGCCTCAAAACATATTTCAAAAACAAGAATTAGCCCTGTAAAAGCCAAAATAAGACTGAACCGTTGGCTTGGGGTGTAGTATAAGATAACCGAGAAT